GTCTAGAGAGCAAACATAAATATAAACTATTTTTCCCAAAAGAAAAAAATGAAATAATGAGTAATGGAACTCCCTAATGCAAAGGAACACAAATATTTATACTCTAGCTCCCACACACACTAGCTTCACGCACAATTAATGAGACACTCTCGAGGTCTCCATGAAATTCGCGAGCTCGCAGCAAGGATGTGCATGGGTGCGTTGGGGTTGCGACAATCCAGACCACGCAGGGCATTCTGCAGGCGCGCTGGCGTACTGTGGCGCAGCCGACTCTCGAGCTCACCGTCGGATTCGCGAGCTCGCGAGTGTCGGCGATGGGCGCGATGATCTGTCGCGGGACTCTCAACGTCGCAGGGTGTTTCGCGAGGGCGCGGGCGTCTGGACACGGCACTCTCGAGCTCGCCTGGTCTCTTGCGAGCTCGCGGCTTGGGGCGCGCATGTATTGGCAGGAGCGTGCGTGGATATGCAGACATGCGGGTGTGTTCTTGACCTCGTCGGGCCTTCCGCGAGCGCGCGAGTCGTGCACTAGGTAACGGCGCATCCGCGAGCTTCGACTAAGGCTAATGGCTCGACACATCTCAGAATTGACTCGAAATTCTTCAAAAAGCTCGTCTCTCAGGATTCGGTCTGACTCGTCTCTTTATCATTGGGATAAAACTGAAATTATACCAAAAGCACGAAAAAGTACGCCAAAATATAAAATAAAACGAAAGACACAAAAACACACGGAAAACGATAAAATGGACCAGTCGACACTAAAAACGAGCCTAAAACCGACTCGAAACATAAACACATAAAAATAAGCACAAAAAATAACAAACAACTCCCCCACACTTAGCTTTTTGCTTGTCCTCAAGCAAACAAAATAACAAATCGCTCAAAGAAAAATATCGAATGGTCCAAGGTTAACAATCATGCGATTATGAAACTCTCATTATCATCTGGTAATCATAGAACCAAACTCAAATTCGAAAACATGTTCCCCACAAAAGAATTCATACAAAACAAAAATTCGTCCCGAGTCATCCTACACATGATTTACTCGATTAATGCCCCTTCCAATACATAAAGGTGCAAAAAGCTAAAATGAGGTCCAGAAGACATAAAAGGAAGAAAACGAGACAATAAGCAAACTCCCTTTCTTATTATATAACTCATTTGTTTATAATAATGAGTTACTTTTTCTGAATGAGAGCCGTTGGGACGATTATTACTTAGGTTTATCCTCGAGGTTTTGTCCCCGAGTCTCCTAAGACGGTTTCCCGTACTCATTGGTTCGATTTGCCTAGAAGACCAACCGAACCAAGTGGAGTCTAATCCTCCCAACTCTTACGAGCTCATTTTGTGAGTTGCTTTTTCCAAACGAGATTTATGGATAATGTGTAAGCCCCGGCCTAAAATTATATATTTAGCTCGACTTTATTTATCAGAATTAATAATATTTTAATTATGTCGAGATTTATTAGTATCAATCGCATAATTTATTTAATTTCAAGTCTAAGCCATAAGAAGAGCGTTCAATTTATCATTTCTGAAACGAGATATAAAACTCTAAGTCTAAGACTCGATTAGTTATTTTTATCGGGTATTAGAAAAGTCGAGAATTTATTTAATTCCTGAACAAGCCAAATTATTTTATTGGGCCCAACTATTTAATCGAGACATTTTAACGCCTAGCCGAACTTATTTTAATTAGTCGACCCATTTGTAATTAAAGTAGTCGAATTAAATTGCGAACCCAATAAAATTTAAAATGTTCCGAGCCCTAGTCGGCTAATAATTCTAGCCCATCTTTAGAAGCCCAATGTGAAGCCCAATTTGGAAGACAAACCCTAGTATTACATGTGTGTATAAATAGCACACAATCCTCTTTCTCCCAACACAAAGAACATAAAACCCTAGCCACCATTTACATCTTCTTCAAGCTCTCAAGATCTCATCTCCCACCATCACCATCACTTTCATAAATCCGGCCAGCCACCAGAAATTCCGGCATCCCCGTAGCTCCGGCGAGTCGCCATCTCCGGTGATGTTGCTGGTAGCCTACTCCGGCCAGCTCTACCACCGCGCCCGCAGCCCCAAGAACCGCCAGAAAGCACCACAGATCTGAGCTCAAGCCACCGTACCAAGCTTCTCCCCGCTGGAAATCGTGAATCCTACGAGCAGCTCCTTCACGAGTAGATCTCCCAGCTCGTTTTACGCCGCCAGCTTCGGCCCGAGCTCGCCACCATCTTCACGACGGCGCACGACTTCACGAGTGTTGGTGTTATATACTGTTGGTGTTATATACTTAAGCTTTGCTTTAGTGGATATTACACTTGTTATTCCTTGATGAATGAGAATTATGTTTGGTTAAATAAGTTCCACGTTCTGTTGTTTTGCATGTAGATAAGTGGGTCGTCATCGGGCGTACCGAAGATCACTATATCAGTTACTTGCGAAACAAGAATCGTTGGTTCACAACCTAGATGGAATTGAACAACCCATCGGAACGGTTGTAGTGTCAACCGTACGGTTTGTCTTGACCGATTAGTTGCACTAGTACATTTATGTATTGAACAGGATCCCAGAGAGGGATGTTCATTTTATACTAATCGTCGTAAACGAACTAGGCCTCAGTTAATTATTGCGTGCTCTTAACCCGTAAGATATTAAATAGGCATGTGCACATAATTGTTGTTGCTTTGATTCTTTGGGTGAGATCCAAGCTGGGTCGACATACTTAATGAATTGGGTAATGACATTGTGTGTTCGATGTGATATTAGGATATTTACGGTCACCATCTGCGTTAGTATGATGATGTCCCCGAAGTGAGTTCATGAAGGAATATTATGCTAAACCCTGCAGGTGGATTTATTCCGGCATAATATGAATGCTATGAGCGAACGCTAGCTTCGGTAATATAATATATTAATTAATTATTGATTATTAGTGATCGAATTAATTAATGGACATTATATCTTAAACATGGGAAGGTAAATCGGATAACTATAATAAGGAGTTTCAAATATAATTTGGGATAGGTGAGGGGAGTGCAATAATATTATTGTGGTGGACTTTAATATTATTAATATATTAATTGTGGGGTTGCTCCACAGTATTAATATATTAGAAGCCCTTATCCTATTCTCCTTAGAGTCCCTACTGTAGCTCTATATATACAGCATTAGGCTCATGGAAGAGAGGAGAACAATCCCACAATTTTGAAAAACAATCCCATAACAT